AGTCGCCGATGGCTCCAGTTGGAAGCTCCGGAGAGCGGTGTCGCTCCCTCGCTCTACGTCGCCATGAACTTCACAAGCACCGAGCAATGTGGAACAAATCGCCGCATCAGGGACAAAAGGCATGTTGTTCATCAGATCTTGAGCTCTCCCAAGCTGTCCTGCGCGACTGAGATTATCCACCATTCCAGCGTAATGGTCTCTCGACGGGATCAATCCATGGTCGAAGCTCATAGACGTGAAGCACTGGTGGCTCTTCTCCAAGCAGCCAACGTGACTAGATGTGCTAAAGACTGCAGTGAAACTTATCTCGTCGTAGGAGAACCCCTCCATAGCCATCTCTTGAAAGAGCTCGAGAGAGCTTTCGTGGTTTTTCTTGGAGTATGAGCCAATCATTGCATTCCATGCTGCTACGTCCAGCTCAGGCATTCGATCGAAGATAGCTTTGGCCTCCTTGAAGCAGTCTTTGGAAGCGTAAGCCTTGATCATCGAAGTCCAGGCAAGAACATCTCGATCGAAGCAAAGAGTGTAAAAGGCTTTTCTTGCGTCACTCAAGAACCCTTGATCCGCATATCCATAGATCATAGTGTTCCACGAGAACTTGTCAATCTCTGGAGAGCTCTGGAAGATTTTCTCTGCCTCTTCGAGACGACCGTCTTGGACGTAGCCGAGCATCATAATGTTCCTGGAAACCATGTCCGGCTGCGGCATGGAATCAAAAGTAAACTTTGCTTGTTCCAGCTCTCCGTTTTCAACGAAGGCGAGGATCATCACGTTTCGCGAGAGCGTGTTCTGCTCGGGCATCTCGCGGAAAACTTTGACAACCTCTTTGATCTGCCCGTGCTGCGCGTAAGCTTTCATCATGTGAACCCAGGATCCAAGGTCCCACTCGGGCATTCTCTCAAAGATCTTTCTCGCGTTTTCCACCTCTCCAATGCTCGCATAGCCGGACATGAAAGCGTTCCACGATATCAAGTCCCTGTAAGGCGCAGCATCAAACATTTTTCGGGCTCGATCCATATCGCCCACCCTCGCGTAGGCCGTGATCATCAGCGTCCAAGCCACCACCGTCTTGCGAGGCATGGCTTGGAAGAGCTCTCGAGCTTTCTCGACGAGAGCACCTTCGGCATACCCGTGGATCATTGCAGTCCACGACACTGCATCCTTGAGGGGCATGTCCTCGAATAATCTCCTTGCCTCACGCAAGTTTCCATTCATCGAGTAGGCCGTGATCATCGTGTTCCAGCTTGGGACGTCGCGCCGCGGCATTCGCTCGAATAGTTTTCTAGCTTCCTCCACCTCGCTGCTCTGAGCAAAGCCGGAGATCATCGAGTTCCAAGACACGAGAGTTTTCCTCGGCATTCTGTCAAACAAGCTCTTTGCTTGATCCACATGACCATACTGAACATAACCAGCGAGTAAACAATTCCAGCTCGCCTCGGTCTTCTCCGGCATCGCATCAAACATTTCTTTCGCTTCATGAATCTTCGCGACCTGGACGTAAGCCGAAACCATCGCGTTCCAGGAGATTACATGCCTCTCGGGCATTCGATCAAACATCTCCTTCGCCTCCGAGAAATTCCCACTCTTGGCAAAAGCTGTCAGCATAGTCGTCCAGGAAACAACGTTTCTGTCGGGCATCTTGTCAAAGTATTCCTTGGCTTCTTTCAGCCGCCCGTTCTCCGCGTAGGCTTGAATCACGGCCGTCCAAGACACCACGTCGGGCCTCGGCATATTCTCAAACATGGCTTTGGCATCTGCTAGACGCCCGTTCCCCGCAAGTGCGCGAATAATGCTGTTCCAGGAGACTACATCCGGGTTGGGTATCTCCTCGAATATCAGTTTCGCCTTTTCGGGTTGCCTGTGGCTTCCATACGCGGCTACCATGATGTTGTAAGAAATAGTGTCCTTGAGAGGTATAGTGTCAAAAATGCGTTTGGCATCTTCCAGATGCCCTTGCTGGGCATTTGCTGAGAGGAGCGTGTTCCAGCAGACAGTGCTGGGATCCTTGATCGAATCAAAGATCTTCTTGGCCTCTTCCAGATTCCCGTTCAATCCATACACCGAAACGAGCTTGCGGACAAGGATTGCGCTGGGGTCGGGGATGGAATCAAAGACGCGCTTGGCATCCCGCGGGCTGCCGCATTTGCCATACATCTCCAGCAGCAGAGTGGCGAGATGGGCGCTGTGGGAATGCGCGCTGCCGCGCACGACCGCGTGGATCCGCCGGGCCTCTCCCAGATCCTTGGAGCTCCCACACGCCCTGATCTCGTGGGCGAGCGAGTGGAGGTCGGTTCCCAGCATTGCATAGCATGGTATAAAGAATATACACAAAATATTCATGTTGCTGTTAATTTTTCGTTTGTAGTTAAGCAACATATTTCTTTGTCTTGTTTAGATTCAGTTGGAAAAATATTTTGTTCAAAGACAAGCTCCAACTCCTTGAGGTTGGCAGCAGCATGATCTTGAAGTTCTTCCACTTAGATCTCGCACAGAGGCCAGAGCCTCCAAAGGTTTTCCAGCCCTTACTGCTATGGGAAAACACTTCCAACCTTCACCTATTGGAAGATTCGACTTGATCCTCTCCCCTCCACATAGCCACTGCAACAATGCTCATTAGGTTCCAAGTTAAGTGAGTCCGGTCCATGAGCAATCCAGCCACCTTGGCAATGAGCTCTTCATCCCCAAACCATGACACGCTCTCCACATAATCCGTGGTCATGGGGATCACTTTGGAGTCACAGACACTTGCAAGCTGATCAAACTTACTTCGATTATTACTTCAAATATTGCTTTGATTCCTTGGAAGAGTAGTGCTCTCCTATGGAACTCTCAGGAGGAATCAAAGTAATCTTCCCAAGTTTGAGCAGTAAAGATCTTCTTGCAAGTAAGAAATACATGTACCTTTCAAGCCTAGTAAACTGGCCACTCCTGATCTGTGTTAGTGCATTCATCACGATTTCCTGATCCCACAGTGTAGACTTGTTCATCAACAGCTTTCCCCATGAACAATGACATCAGGCCTTTGTTCAGTTTTGAATTCCTCTTCCAAAATCTATCTGCAGCTGATTTTCCACCTTGCTTGTGAGCTGCATGCTTGTATTGAGCTCGTTATATGCTGCAATCTTGGAAATTAGCAGCTATTTGCTGTTTGAAAACAAATAGTTTTTTTAAGTTTCTATAAATTATAACCAGCCTTTTCCAATTGAAAATTCTTATAAACAGTGTATTCGTCATGAGCAAGAAAATTGAAATTCACGGTAGATGTGGTAACATCAAACACACAGCTCAAATCTTCCATGGTATGCCCAAGAGGGACAAGTTCACCTGGGATCTTTTGCTGGTTGCCTACTGCAAAAACGGGCATTTTGATGAAGAGAGGAGATACCCAACCCGCACGATGATTGTGGTCACGGGCATCTGGAGTCTTCTCTCATGCTCTTCCACGCCATGCTTGTGAGGAACTTACACTACAATCCTCTCCGGCTACGTCCACTGCGGTCTCCTGAAAAACTTGGAGCTCTTCTTCCTCAATCAGATGCCACAGCATGATCTTGTCGTCAAAACGCTGCTCCTCGCCTACACCCAAGGCCAACGCCCTGAGGAAACCAGATGCCTTCTTGATTATGTAGATGCCGTGTGTGGATATTCTCAGTGCGGCCTCCTGGACGAAACCGCGAGAATCCTCGACAAAATGCCAGCCTGGAATCTTGCACATTCCATGCAAGGGACTCTGACCGCCTTTCACGAAATGGCAGACAAGAACTTGGTGTTGTAGAATGCTCATATCTCTCTCACAAGGAGGTGTTTGAAACAATGCCCCTGTCTAATCAGAAGCTAGAAACTAGGTATATTATATTATATATTAGTTTTCTAATTTTAAAGGTAAAACTGATGGTATATTATTATTTTGCTGCGTGTAATAGTAATGTTATTTCTATTTATTAATCTAATTAATCAAATGGAAGTTTATAATTATAAACATGTTTATAATTTATAAATACAAGATTAATATCATTAAATATCAACCATTAGATGGTAAAATAAACTAGAATATACTAGGACGTATTTAAAAAAGTTTATAAATTATAAACATATTTATAAATTATAAATGCAGGATTAATTTAGCCAACCTTGCCAGGACAGCAGAAAGTAGTGAGAATGATAACCAGGAGGACGTGGACGACTATGGCAACTTGTTCATGGCCACTAGTATCCAGTAGGTTGCAAAGAACACACTTGGCATAGAAGCAGAGAAGTTGTGTTAAATGGTAAAATATTTTAGAATATTCAAATATATTCTAAATATATCCTTACCACCTTTACAGGTTTGCTTAAGCAAACTAAAAGAGAGAGTCATTGTTCTTTAATTTTAAAATTATATTAAGAAAACAGTATTTTATCTAAAATTTGATTATTTTATATTTATGGGGAAGTAATATTTAAATCTAAAATAATAAACCATAATTAATCAAATATATTCTATATATATATACATATATATATATATACATATATATATATATATATATACATATATATATATATATATACATATATATATATATATATATACATATATATATATATATATACATATATATATATATATATACATATATATATATATATATATATATATATATATATGAACACTTTAATCAAAAATTGCAAAAATATGTTTAAAATATCATAGCTAGGTTCTTGTTTTCTAGCGGCAGCACACGGCCAGTGCCATGGCCAGGCTGATGCGCCAGGCCGCAGCGCTTAGGTTTGTCAACCAGATCTGAGTTTCAGGCACGAAGATAAACCAACAGCCACAACTAGTCATAGCCAAGTGAGTGCTTATATTGCAGCCACACAGCTTGATGGACTGTGAGAGTTCTTTCAGGGCTAGGCGATGATCAAGATGTCCAGGTTCTTTATCACAAGTCTAGGCGTTGGAAATCCTTCACCCAAGAAAAGCAGCCTTTTATTATTATTTGATAGAACTGAATAACAGTCTAGAGTTGGAAGGTCCCTGATTTTTCTGGAGGAGGGATCCACCCAATTCCATGGTATCTAGCACTCAACCATCCCCATTCTGCGTTTGCGGCCATCCACACCTCTACCCCATTCACATAATCCATGACGCCTTGCTTCCTGGCAAGCCCACTTGAAATGATCTCCTGCTTTGTCCCGATGAACTCCTTCTCCAAATCCTCCACCATGCTCGCCAACATGGCAATCGCCTCGTTCAAACCACACTTGTGAATGCTGGCGAGAATGGGCACGGCGTTGAGGTAGTTCCCTTTCGCCCACTCCTTCCTGAACGAGATCAAGTCATTGTGGAGCGCAATGTGGTGCGTCCCAATCTCCTCAACCTTGCGTATGAGAGGATGATCCAGCACGCCACGCTCTTCCAGCCCAAGTTGCAGTAAACCATCAAGCATAGCAAAGCAAGGCGCAACACCAGATGTGATCTCTCTCAGCCACATGTACGTGTCCAGGTTGGGAACGATTTGCTTGTGAAGCCAGTTCGATTCAATCTCAAACATGTCGAGCACCTTGGTCATAGAATTCATGAATCGGCCGGATTTGTCCACTAGATGGAGGGACAGTTCTTTCAAAACCTCAGATAACATCTTCACTTGCCTCAGCAGCTCCTGATTCTTGACCAGAAGTGCGGCCTCGTCAAATCTTCCCTTGAAAACCATCTTGTATGCGGTTGCCACGTTCCTCATGTCCGACGAAGAGATCTCAGGGTTATCCAGAATGTCATCTGCAAGAAAGAGCCAAGCGATGAACTTTGCAACGGGAACAATCTTCTCGTATGAAATGCTCGGGTATGCATAAGCTGCGAGCAATCCAAGCCTGCTCTCTCGAATAAACACAGATTTCTCGCTTCCAGGTTGCAACTTCAGAAACTCGTCACACCACACATTGATCTCAGCGTCGGCCTTTGCATCATACAGCGGATTCAGCGCTGGAGAGGCCAGAAGTTTATTACTTGCTGGTGGAATGGAGTAGCTTTTCTCCGCTGCAAAAATGCTCACAATGGATAGAATAGCCATTAAGAAAACACAACACAATTTCTAACCACGACTTCTCGGTATATATAGAGCTATTCTCGTTAGAAGCAAATTCCAAATCTATTACAGTTGCGATGTTGCCGAATTTTGCGAAAATACCTAGGAAACATCCAAAAGTCAGGTTTGAATTGCTGATTTTAAAATATTCAGTCATAAAATGTTAAGCACATAGTATTGACTTAAATGGTAGTGAATGAAGCTAGAGTATATTACCGTCTAACCACAACTTCTGGGTATATATAAAGTTATTCCTGTTAGAAGCAAATTCCAACTCTACTATAGTACGTTTGCGATGTTGTTGATTTTTGCAAAAATACTTAGTAATCTGCTTTTCTATATTGATATATATAATATACATTTAGATTAATCTATGTTAATGTATAAACGTTCTTAAACATGAATTCAATTTAGCCCGCTGGTCTTATTCAATTTGTGTTTTGGCATGTGAAAGCTGATAAATAGGCTGCTCAAAATACTAAGCACTATGCAGAGATTTAAATTGCCCCATGCTTTTATGTAACAAAAAAGGTTGAAAAGCACTTTACTCTTTGCTAGCATCTCCACATTTTGTAACACTACCTTCTCAAGCTCAACTGTTACTGTGGACAAATACTATTTTGTTTTTAATCTAGTTTTCTATACAAATCTTTTGAACTACAATATATATTCCAGCAATTTGAAGAAGTGGGTGGTGTATGGAGGTAGTCCTACCAAACACTAGAGGAACCAACCCTCTCCCTCTCCCCCTGGACCAACCCTTTTTCATTTCGTGGAGGTAAGAATTACTAAGAGTTAGAGGTAAATGGAAAAGAAAATTACCAATTAGTGAAAATTCAGCGTTTACTGGGCTCTTGGGTGGAGTTTGTCGATCCGACCACTTGGGCGATGAATTCCTGGCCAATTCCCGCCCCATTCTTCCTCTGGGAGAAGATCCGGATTCGCCCAACATCCGGATTCGCGATGCGGGTGAAGGCTTCGTAAGAGAGATCGAAGGAATTAGCGTGACAGCCCGGGCAGAGATCCACGACCCGGACGGTGACTGTAGCGTCGTTCGACCGGCATCCTCCAGCGCCAGAGACCGCGCCCTTGCAAGTGATATCGAAGTAGGCGCCGCAGAGGCCATTGAAGATATCGGGGCTGGCTGCCGCGATCAAATTTCCGGCTGGAAAGGGCCCGCGATCGAAGCCATAGCAAGCCGATGCTGTGATCACACACAAGGGGCAATCAATCAGTTGGTCGAGAGGAAGAATTGATTGAGCGCTTTGAATCGAGGAACTCACGAACGTATTCCGTGTAGAACGTTGCCTCGCCATTTCCTCCTCCGCCGCCTCCGCTACACCAGTTACACTGGCTTTGGCACCCATTGCCGCAGTAATCCGCGGAGCATCCACAGTAGCCCCATTGGCTGCAACACATGTTGTCTCCACAAGGGCGATTGCGATCACACTGCTGGGCGGTGGCCACCATAGCCGCCGCTACCAGCAGCGAGAGGAGGAAGATCAAACGAGGACTCATACTTTTTTAGCGAGGATAGACCGTGGATATGATTTATAATATGGATGTATGTAGCTAGGCTCGCAAAGTTGGAATAGAACTCTACAACCATATATATTAATCATTCCTCTTTGATTGAAAATTTCTTTGGGCGGGAGTTCCGGCGATTATACACCGTGTTGTCCACCGTTGGATCAAGGGATTTAAAAGCTCGAGGAGAAACGAGGGTTAGGGTTTATGCGCACCCAAGTTCTACTGCAGCGTCGTCGTGCTCGCTTTGCGGCCGCGCCGAGGTACGCTGTGAGTTTTTATCAGTGCGTAGATTCACCGTCGAGCCAGCTGCTTGAGGCTGCGCCTTAGATCCATGGCGCTTTCTCCAATGATCTGGCTCACATTTCTTGCCGTAGATCGCTTTTATTACGAAGTCTTTGCTCGATCCCTATGGATTGCTTCTGTCCGTATTGTTTTCCTGCATTTCTTGCATTGCCCGTGACCGCAGCACTGCCTCCTGCTCGCTTTTTGGTAGAGCATTAAACATGAAGATAGATTTGTCCCCAATGTCATCCTGGCAGTGGTTTTTTTCTTTAGAAGATTTGAAAGGAAGCAGAGAAGGTCTACCTTTATTGGTTGTGTGAATTTCCTGCCAGCGAAAACCGCAAAGAGACCCATCCAGGCCGCCAGTAGACCTTGCTTTACGTTGTCATCCATCGCTCCCGACTGATATGCCGCAATGAGTTTTTCTTATAAGAACTTTGTGCAGGCATGAAAATGGGATGCGTACCAGGTGACCCAAGAGCAAGGATGGTATCACGAAGAAGAGGAGTGCCGCCTCTAGTTTTCCATAGCACAATCCTGACGAACGAGCCATAAGTGGTGGTGAGTTCCATTTTTTTTTTCTTTCTGAAAGGAGAGCTCAGTGTTACCTTCTTTGAAAACCAGGCCTGTGAGTGCTGCAAAGAGAGGCCCGACTGCCCAAACCGCAGCGGGATTCTCCACAACGAATTCCACCAGACCCCTGTCAGCTGGAGTGGCGAAGTTGGATGCTACAAGTATAGAACCAGCCACTCCGACTGTCCATAGGACTTGCAACGCTCGCTTCAGTGGAGTGACGTAGATGTGTATGAGCAGCAGGGACACCCCGAGTGACCCGGCTCCAATCGAAAAAAGTAAGTCTTGATAAGTTGAGATCACAGACTTGACAACATTGTCTTCCGGTAGGAACGCCGTAGACGCTACCGCGACAAATGTAGCTGCCGATGTTACTAGACCAGCTCTGTACAAGAAGACCTGGAGACACAAGGAAATCATGTCACAGTCCACAACGGGTAAAAGTCGGTGGTGATGGAAGTAAGTGACACCAAATCTCAAGAAAAAGGACGATGGTCGACGAAGATTCAGGCATTACCTCGCGCACGTCGGTCGAATCAATCGACCAGGGGCCGTAGACACCATTATAGACCTGAACAGCATCGGTCTTGGACGACGAACTCTGGGCTTTACACAGGAGAATTCTGGGACCTCTCCTCTTGGCAGAGAAGGATCGTATGGAACGAGGAGCTGTTGCCGATAGAAGTAAAGGCAGAGAGGACAACAAGAGCGCCATAGCCAGTGAGATATTATATACCTACACAACAAGAACGGCTCCAACTGGATGATTAAAGTAATCACTCCACGCAAGCGGCAAAGCGTAAGTTTCCTTCGTTTTTATCTTTATTCCTCCTTGTTTTGATTCCATTTTGCTTTTCCTGGTTTGACATAGGATCCATTCAATTTGGCTGTCAATATCTACATCTCTATTTTGCGATGTCTGGCATCTTCTGCAGCATTTACTCTTCCTTTTTAGCTAGGAGAAGCTCCCTCTTTTAAACCTCACTCACTCGCGTTCTGTTTTTTTCCTTGGAGTTTTTTACTCGCAGGTTCGGATATGGATCCGTGATGCAGCAAGATGCGTCGCTGCGTGCAAGAGCATCGTCACGGTGGTACAATCAACAATGAAAAAAACACCAAGAAAAAGCGTGGCAGGAGAAAGAGGGTGCTAGTGGGTCCTTGGCTTTGTGCTACAGCAAGAAACAACAACACAGCTCCTTCGGTTTCCCAGTCGCTTCCGTATGGCAAAGAAGCTCCTTTCCCTGCATCACCGACTAGGTGGAGACGCGAAAGCACCAATAAATGGATCCCTACTTGGGTAAGCAGGTTTCTCAACTTCCTTGGCAAGATTTTGGTGAATTCGTCGTGCTGTGCATCAGATTCAGCAGATAAGTTAAACGGAGTAGTAGGGGAAGATGAATTTGGGAGACCCCAAGAGGCAAGGAAGGCTCAGGTACTATAGAAGATAGGAATTTTGTGCGAGAAAACAGGAAGCTTTGTCGACCATGGGGTGTGCTACATCAAAGATCGAGAATGAAGAGGTCGTGGCACTTTGTAGCAGTCGTAAAAGGCACGTGAAAGAAGCTGTGAGCGCTCGTCACAATTTTGCAGCGGCTTTTTCGAACTACGTAATTGCTCTCAAGACAATCGGCTCCGCCTTCAGCCAGTTCAAGGAGGCTGAGTTCCAGGACACGGCCTCGCCAACGTTTGCTTCGTCCACTCCTATGACAACCGCAACGCCTATGAAGCCTGCAAAACCTCCTCCACTTCCTCCGCTGTACGGGCCTTCGGCAACGTCTCAGCAGAAGAATTCACCGTCACCCATGGTGCTGAATCCGATGAAGAGAACTGTCAGCTTGCCACCGATGAACTTCGAGAGGAAGAAAACCTCAGCAGCGGTGCCAAAGAACGCCGACAACTCGTCAACTCCACCGGTGAAGGCTGCTCGAAGCAGCAGCAGCAGCACGATTAAGAAAAAGAAGGAAGTTTCTCCATCTCCATCACCATCGCCTGAGCCGGAACTTCGTGAGCAACAAGCAAGTTCCGTGATGGAAGAGGAGTTGACGGAGCCGCAGAAAGACGTGAAGGAGTCTTCAAGTGTGGAGAACAACGTTAAAGTGTCGAGTGAAGATGAAGATGACTGGGTTCCACCTCCGCCACCTCCTCCAGTTCCTTCCAGCAAGGCACCTCCGCCACCACCGCCACCTCCGAGCTCGTCCTGGATGTCTGATCTGTTTGAGTTTTCGCACTCAGCCGTGCCGTTGCCAAGATCAGACGACAACGAAGAAGAATTCGATGGCGAAGATCGACGTAAGCAACAGCAACTCGAAGAGGAGAAGCGTCGGAAGCTTCAAGAGGAGGAAGAAAAAGAAGCTCAGGTAATTAGTGCGAAGCATGCACGGCAAGCTAACTAATGTCCGCTTTTTTGTTCTTTTTGTGACCAGCGAAAGGAAGAAGAGGAAAGAAAATTGAAGCTGCAACAGCAGCAGGAGATGGAACTGAAGCAAAAGCAGCAAGAACAAATGCACAGACTGCCCTCAACTGTGGATGAAGGGGACGAGGATGAAGACGAGGAGGAAGAAGAACAAGACGAGGACGAATTGGATGAAGAGGAGGAAGAAGAGGAAGATGGTGAAGAGGAGGAGGAAACCGAGGAGGCTGAGCCTGAGGAAGAACCAGCGAAAAAAACTGTGAGCTATGACCTGCCAAAGTCCGACTTGAGCATTGTGACGTCTTCAAAACGAGGAGGCAACGGTGAGCTAGTTGCTGTGCTCAAGCGCATTGTGGAACCTTTCGAGGTGGCTTATGAAAGTGGAAGGCATGTGGCTTCGATGCTCGAGGCGCAGCGTGTTTCCTTCCATCCAAATTTCATTGATGGCAGATGTAAGTTCTTCTCTTTCTTTTTTTTTTTTTGGTTCGTTTTGGTTCTGCTTTTCTAATAACAGCGGTTTTGTGTTTGTAGCTGATGAAACTCATGCAAAGAAGGTTTTGAGAGCTATTTCTTGGAGCAGCAGCAATTCCTCTTTGGCCAGAGCGGCAGCAGAGCAGTCGGTATTCGATGATGAAAGTGGTGACGCGACTGGAACCCACGCCTCCACTTTAGATCGATTGCTTGCATGGGAGAAGAAGCTGTACGACGAAGTCAAGGTCTAGTTCTCCCTTTTCAAATTATGAAAGCGCGTCTCTTTAACTCTTTTCTTTCTTCCCCTTTAGAGAGCTGAAGGCCTGCGCGTAGAGCTCGAGAAGAAGAACACTTGGATACAAAAGGAGGAATCTAGAGGAGGAAATGCCGAAGCGATCGAAAAGGCAAAAGCAGCGGAGAAATTGCTGCACACCCGTCATGTCGTTGCAATGCAAGGCGTGGACACGGCTCGCAACGCCGTGCTCAGGCTCCGGGACTCGGAACTGTATCCACAACTTCTGGAGCTCCTCAAAGGGTACGCAAACTAGCTATAAAGTTTCGTAGAGCTAAGCTAACCTTCAAAAGAAACAAAACAGGCTGTACGAGATGTGGAAGAAAACTCACGAATGCCACGAAGAACAGTACAAGGCAGTGGCGGAGATGAAGAAGCTCGACTGCTCGGACGTGGTGGAGTCGACCAACAGCCTCCACAAGGTGGCGACCGAGCAGCTCAAGGTGGCGCTCAGCCGCTGGCACCAGTACTTCGGCTCGGTGGTGAGCAGCCACAAAGTCTTCATGCAACAGCTCAACGTGTACGTCAAGGTGAGCGTCAAGTCAGTGGAGCTGGACAAGGGGATCTTCCACGCTGCGTCGCCCAAGCCCATCTCCACCCTGTGCCACGAGTGGCAAATGGCGCTGGACAGGCTCCCGGACAGGAGCGCGCTCGAGGCCATCAACACGTTCGTGGCGGACCTCCAGCTGATCGTGGACATGCAAAAGGAGGAGTCGCGGCACAGGAAGAAGGTGGAGGCGCTGGAGAAGGAGGTGAAGGCGCGGGAGATTTACGTGGAGAAGTACGAGAGGAAGCACGTCAGGAGCGCGGCGGTGAGCCGGACTGTGAGCACGGACGAGAACGGGGAGGTGCCGGTGGAGGTGGTCCGTGGGGGGAGCAACGCGCGGAGCGTCGCCATGACGGAGAAGAGAGCGCAGCTGGAGGTGCTCAAGAGGAGGCGGGACGAGGAGAGGGAGAAGGCCGAGGAGCTCGGGGAGAGGTCCAAGGCCAAGACGATTAGCAGCCTGGAGCTTGGGCTGCCGAGCATCTTCTACGCCGCCAGGGCCTTCTCCAAGCAGTGCTTCGAGGCTCACGAGCGATTGCAGGGGCTGGCAAACAGTAGCATGATCATGGACAAGTGAGAGAGAGAGAGAGAGAGAGAGAGAGAGAGAGATTGACAAACAAAGAGATTGATTCTTCTTTCTTCTTTTTAGTCGTTCTTCTTTTCAGCGAGGCCTAATGCACGCCAGCAGATGCCAAGTCGGGGAAATTTTGAGATCATTGTAGTTCTAAACTTTCATGTGTAGAAACTAATGCACTGTAATTTCTCGAGAATCTGGAAAGCTTACGTGAAATTAAAGTTCTTGAATCCTTTGCCTAGTGAAGAAATGCCAAGAAAAAGTTATGAAAACTTACTGCGGCTCTTAGAAGAGAAAAATGATCTGCGGAGAATTTACGTGAAATTTACGAACAGTTTACAAGAAGAAATCGCCAAGGAAAAAGGAAAAAAAAAATTTAATGGATCCAGTGTTTGTTCTTCAAAGGTCGCTTGTTTCTGTGCGAAGAGAGCCTACTCGCTCCAGATGGTACTTCCTGGTGACATAGATGTAGGAGCCAGCGATGAGCAAGAGGACGGCGACTATGCAAGCAAACACCACACCCGCGATTATCCCTTCTTGCTTCCCTCCTCCGTGTCTTCTCGCCGATATCGCTTGCATCAAAGGAGAGATTTCCTCCACACCATCGCCATCGCCTCTGCCATCACCGTCTTCACTACCTCCTGGATCTGATCGAGCTCGCGGAGGCTTTGGACGAGAAGTCACGGGAGCTTGAGACTTCGGATGAGCTGGAGCTGGAGCTGGAGATGGAGATGAGAGAACTCTCAAGCCCGCGCTGGAAGGAGAGATAAGATGCCAGTGATTTCTCCTGCCAGCAACTGGCGAAATCAAGGAAGAAAAAGACGAAGACGAAGACGAAGGAGATCGGTGGCCTGCTGCGGCTGCAATCACGCTCCATCGAGGCGAATCAATCAAGAGAGCCAGCACCAGCATGATCAAAGTTGTCATGATATATCCTCTCGCGCTCCCTGCTGGGACGATAAGATCTCGATCGGCCTATAAGAATGATCACTCGTATCGATCTGACAATGAAAGACGGGCGCTAGTCGCGTATCAAGATCAGCGCGATGGATACGAAATGGAGTGGGATGGAGTGCCAGCAAGAGCGACACAACCACAGAATCGCCGTAGAGCGGAAGCTCTAATCAGTCGAATGACGGCAAAACGACTGTGAAGTGGTGGTAAAGAGACGCAAGACAATGTCTGCGTGGGGTGCCTTCGTCAACGGTGGGTCAATGCGAGAAGATGCAATTGACACTTCTAGAATGAAGAACAAGTGTCCTGCTTTGCATTTCGTCAACACCGGTCGCATTCAAGAACCTAATTTCTCCCTCCTTTTTGGCTTTTGTCTATGGAAGACTGATCCAACGCTGCATGTATTTAAGTTTCCACTCGGAGATTTGAAGTTTGCTGCTATTGTCTTTAGATTACTGTATAGTAGGACTGACTAGAAAATCCACAAAGTCTGAGACTTCTCTATTATATACTTGTCTGACAAATGTTATGAAATTTTGAGCTGTGCTGCTGCTCGTGATTGATGGCGCAACTTTCAGACCAAGAAAAAACAACTGAGAATCAAAAGAGAATGTTCAGCAAATTTCATTCTCCTGGCTATGCTATCAAGAGCACCTTCCACTTTGTTTTATTATCTCTAAAGCATTAATACAGGTTTGTCTTAATATAAAATTTATATCTCTAAAATACTTGGGGCAATTTGTTAAAGGAAAACAAGACCAGACTCTTACAACAATTTGTAAACAACTGAGATGTAAGCCCTCTGGTTTTAAAAATGTTTTATTTTATTAGAAGAAAAGAATTTGTTCCTAGGCAGACAAAAAAAGCGCGTTTCAAAGGCTGGGCAAGTATCTCCTTACAATGTGCTTCCCTGCCACAACGCTCCCCGCCGCAATCCCCCCGAGCGCCCCAGCTATGGCCGCCGTCCTCGGCCCCGCCGCCGCCTTGTAGAGCGCCCCAGTCGCCAGCCCCGCCAGCACCGGGTTGAGTATATCATCCGCCCCTCGCAAGTACCACGTCCCACTCTCCACGCCCGCGTACAAGAGCCCCAGCACGCCAACCTTGTTCCCGATGCTCCTCCCCGTGTGCCCGGACGCGTTTAGAACCCGGTTGAGCCTCAGCTTGGTGGTATCGTCCACCTCCCTCGACCTTATTCCATCAAAGATCCCCTTGGCTCCGCCCAGCACAGCGCCGCCAAGGTATCCCACCCCCGTGTAGTACTGGATATTCTCGCCCAGGGACCGCCGCTGGAACGCCGCCTCCTCCGTGAAGAGGAACTCGGGCGCGCTGGGCAGCCGGTAGAGATCAGCGGCGCCGCTGCTGGCGCCGCCACTGGTGCCGTAGAAATCGTAGGGATTGTAGAGCCGGATTTCCTTCTCGGCGCCGAATTTCCTCTCCTGTGCGCTGGCGCTGCTGCTGCTGCTGCTGCTGCTGCTCATCATCTTGACTTCCTTTGAAAATTTTGATCGATCGTACCGATCGATCTGCCGCTCCTGCTGGGATTGTGGAGACTCACCTCTGCGCCCCCGCGCCTCCGCCCTTGACAAACCCTAAACGTGGAAATAAAAGAAACGGATGGAATCTTTCCTTTTGGGCATCATGCGGATATTCGGATCCGACGGTTGGAATTCAAACGGGAGATCCAGCGGCTGTGAGCTGCAGAAAGTAAAGATCAAGCGATCGTCTCGTGTTTTCTGGATGTTCTACCTCGTTGATTCTCACGAGCAGTGATTTTCTTTGCGCCTCTTCGGCCGAGAGCCGACGATACAGCGCCTGGATGAGCTCTTTATCGTTTCTTGACGAGGTAATGGCTCGTCTCTCCTCGTTTAATTGGTTTTTCTCGGCTGGACGCAGGAAGTTTTCTTGTTAATCCTCCAGATTCTTAGCAATTCTCCCTCTACAACTTGAAAATGCTTACCTTCCAGTGTTGAGCGTTCCATTAACAGCTTTTCGCGAAGGCTCTGGTATTCCTTTTCAAGTTGGTTTTTTCTCCTGAATAAAACCGATAATGTTGAAATTAGAAAAGACGATAAAGTCTGCTTACATTGCAAGAACTTCTTCTGCCTGGGAGTGAAGAAACTCCTTGAGATGGTTTGCGTCTTCTTCCCGGACCTTCACTTGCATTTCCCTTGCTTGCAAAGCCTCCTCTCTTCTCTGCCAGCCTCTCTCCTGCGATCCACGGCAGCCAGCGTAAAAAAAGCAGTGATCCATTCGTCACGCTACCTGAACTTCGGTGTCGAGTTTGAGCTTATCAGTGCGCGTACGAATATCTTCTGTGGTCTCTAGAGCTCGTTGGCGCTGTTGATAGGCCAAGAACTCAACTTCCTGGAGAGAACTTGGAAGAGGTAAGCGCTGGGAAGTCGAGTTTTGCAATTTACTCTCTGCTTGGCTTGAAACCTCTCCTCGAGCGTCGCCTCTTGTTGAGCCAATTGCTCCCGCAGCGTCCTTTGCATGTCATCCAAGTCCTTTCGAGCACTAGCTAGCTGCCTGAACAAGTCGAAGCAGTGAAACTTAAGTTGGAGTGGCGGAAAGAAGAATACCATACCGACGGTATGAAGCAGCTTCATCCATCCTGGCTTGTGCAACTTCGACCTCGCGAATTCTTTTCACCTGTGTATGTAAAACGCCGAAGCTCGCAAGCCACCAACGGGGAAGGAAGAGAAGAAATTACCTGAGCATCAACTTCAGCTCGTACTTGGTTGTCAAAATCTCGGTGCAGTTTTGTCACTCGCTCCTCTGCAGTCCTTGACGAGCTAAGCTGTTGTTCTTTCTCCAGCTTCTTTTTGAAAGCGTCGTCGATCTCCTTGAGCCAGGCATCTAAATTGTTTCATCAGAGGAATCAAAGAAGTTCTTTTGACAAACCGAGCTTCTTGGGACCAATCTCCTCAGTTTGGGTCGAGGAATCTCGAGTACTTGCAGAGGAAAGAAAATGCTGGACAATGGCGATCAACTGCTGTGCAAGACAGCTGCGTTCCCCCGAGACCTGGAAGAAATCGAAACATAAACTCGAAAGCCAAGATCAAGCGCAAAGAGTTCTCAAAGCTAAAGAGGAAGTAGCGAAACTCGCCAAGGAGGCAAAGGACGTACCTCTTTTGTGATCCAGAATGGTGCTAGATCGAGACGAAGGATTTGCACCACTTCATCGCGCGAGAATGGTGGCCAAGAGTCCAATTGGCTCTCCGGGAAGAACACCGACTGGGTGAACTTAAAGCCGTAGGCCTCGAGATACTCCACAAACGTGCTCGCTAAGATCCGATCCTGGAGCGATGGCCTTGCCCGCATCGACGGATCAAACAGCGAATGGTCGTCTCCCCGGAGCTTGTGAATCAATGCCGATCGCAGCTGGCTCTAGAGAAAGAGAAAAGGAAAACCACAAAGAATGCGGGCATTTTAGCCATCGAAATCGTGGCGATCAGCGTGACAAGAACCTTGACGCGCCCGAGAATCCCAGCGGATTGAAAGGACAAGAAGAGCTGCTCTTTGAGTTCTTCAGCTGACAAGGGCTCCATTTTTAGGGTTCTTCCCTGTGTTTTTAGGGTTCTTACAATTTCTCTGTGCGAGAAATGGACGCGACCAGGAAGGCGATGTTCCGGTCGCGGCTGCGGCAGGCGGCGGAGCGCAAGGAGAAGATCGATTCACCTCTGGCTAGGTACGAAATCATTGAGAAAGAGCGAGTATCTAGGTGATTTTCTTTCTTTCTCAGGTACAATGATCTCGGGCAGCTTGTTTGTAAAGTCTGTAACATATCGATCAAGACGGAGGCTCTTTGGGGAGCTCATCTCGCATCTCAACAGCACAAAGAAGTAAGCCGAGAGAGAAATTTCTTTCGCGTTTTAGCGTAAGTAAGTTTCTCACTGTGCAGGGTGGCTGAGAGTGGGAAAAAAATTCCTTTTCTTCTGCAGGCTGCCGATGAGTTGAAAGAGCGAGCAAAGCGATTGAAAGCCGCTGCTGCTGCTGCCGAGCCAACTCGATCGACCTCAGTAGCGCAAAAATCCGAGCAAAATGGGAATAAATCCGAGGCAGTAAAAGGTGACTCTCAGCGAGGTGAGACAAGTCTAGTTGTGATCTTTTGATGCCGTGACTGAGAGATAGCTAACTTTGCAGCCGATTCTAACCGGAAACCAAGCAATGGTGAAGCTCCTCCTGCTCAAAGCAAGGATAGGACTGGACCCTTGCCTGAAGGCTTCTTTGACAATGCGGCCGCGGACATGAAGGCCCGAGGAGTAGAAGCGCCTAAGATCAACATGCAGTACGTCTTTGCCAGGTTTTGGGTGTGGAGCTAAAAGGTTTTTGCGTCTAGGGAGGAGCTGGACCATTTCCACAAGCTTATAGAGGAGGATGTCAAGGCAGTCGATGATAGGCACCGGGAAGAGGAGGTACGTATTCTTCTGTGTGGATTTCTCTTTCGCTGATAGATTTATCCAGGTTGAAGCAGCGGAAATCCGACACGAGGAAGAAGAAATTGAGCAAAGGTAGAGCTAGACTCTTGCTCTGGGTTTTCACAGCTCTGATTTTCTTTCTCTCTGTTTTTTTCCAGCCTTTGTGTGGAACGCGTTGAGATGCTTAAGAAACGAAAGCTTGAGTTACGCGACGAGACCAAGCCGGGAGACTCAAAGTCAAAGAAGCCAGAGAACTTACTTGACGAATTATCAAGCGATGACGAGAGCGACGAAGAACCGGTTTTGGATTGGCGAGGTAGACGCTAAGCCCCAAGATCAAACTCGTTAGCAAGTATGCTCCAAGATCAAACTCGTTACCAAGTAACTTACAAATTGCTTTAGACTCTCTCGAGCTCATGAATGTGCTTGAGCTTTTGCGCTTTGAGAATGTCACTCCATCCCTGGAGCAGCCTCTTCTGCCGTTTAATCAGCTCGTCTTTCGCCCTGAGCTCGCTTTCGAGCCCAGCAATTTCCTGGAGACTAAAGTTCTAAGACAAGAAAAATCGCATGGAGGAAAAGAAGAACCTTTTTCAAGAGCTCCTCTTTGGGAGGCTGGTGTTCATGCTGTACCCGAATGAAAAATACTTGCAGCTGCTTCGCCGCTTCCATGAACTCCCGGGCATGGCGCTCCACATCCACTAGAAGCGAAAAACCAAAATCCTTTGACACCGAAGAGAAAGACGTTATGTTACCGTGGTGGGAGGGATGAGTGGAACGATCGGCCGCCTGGAGCTCTCGAGCAGGGAGGCACGGCAACAATGTCGCGTCCAAAGACGCGACCCACGACTGGACTTCGTTTAGGCTGCTCATACCAAACACAACCCTAAAAAGAAAGATGCAATAAAAAAGGTACTTTGCGATTGATTTGTGATTTTGAGAGTAGCAAGATCTACTTCCGATTTTTTTTTCCTGATTACCAAGTTTTGACACAGCATCTCTTGCGTCTACCCGTAAAACTCCTGTGTTCAATTATTGTTTTTTTCAAGATTTTGCTATGCTATTTGGGTTGAGAAAAATATTTCAAAATAAAATAATAACAGTACTTTAAATTAATATTATTTTTGGTTTGCTTAAGGCACAATTCACCAAGATAAAACTTTAAGTGGAGATACTTAGGATATATTTGAATATTCTGATCTAACAGTTGTTATTCATTTAGATTATATTTAAAATTATGAACATATTTGTAATTTATAAATTTTTATAAACATGTTTTAGTATATTCTAGTTTATTCTAACATATAATGGTTGAAAATTAATCTTGTGTTTATAAATTATAAACATATTTATAATTATAAAATTCTATTTGATCAATTGGTAGTGGTTGTACAATACTCTTCTCCAGATCCATCAGTAGATAAGTCATGTTTCCCACTCCATTTCTCCCCTCCATTAGCTTTTCCATCCATTGAGAAGTTGGTTCTTCTCATTTCTACTTCCCATCTAGCTGTTTCACTACCATTATTAAACCCTTGATGCATTTTTGACCTTAGCCCATGTCCTTTGTCTATTTCTACTATCACCATGAAAGAATTAGTTAACGAGTCTGAACCACTTCAATTGTTTGCTTTGATTGTTAATCTTATTTATCGTTCCATTGACTCAACTGTTTGCTTGTTGGTGAAGTATTAGGATTTCCAAGATGTTTTTGACAAGAGAAAAGCTAGTGGTTTGCCTCCTCATCATTTTTATGACTGTGCTATTGAGTTATAAAAGGATGCTTAGCCCCCATGGGGACCCATCTACAATCTCTCACCATTAGAGCTGGCTGCCCTTAAGGAGTATGTGGACTCTAATTTGGAATCTAGCTTCATTCAGCACTCTTAGTCACTTGCAGGGGCACTCCAAATGGCTAAAATTTATAATTTCAGTTTTTAGGAATAATAATAATCTTATTTAATCAAATGAGAATTGAGCTTGTGTCATTTTTCTGATATTAAATGTAATGCACCCTATTTTTCCCTATTGGAGCCAATTAGAAAAAATAGACAATTGTTTAATGAAAAAGCTCTTTATGACTATTTATCCCTATACATCCCCCAAAGTTCTATGAATTTACAATAATATTATATTTAAATCTCATCCTATAATAACATATATTACAGTTATGGTAATTCCACTAAGACTAAAGTGTATAATACTAAATTTATATAGAAAATGCAAGATCTTCAAAATAACTTTATGTTGTGAAAGCATGGAGGTGGTTCTTGGGGTATTTTAATTATATTTATTTTGTTCATTGTAAAGTTGTAATTGGTAAATTTTTGCCACAAAAAATAGATAAAAAATGTAAGATAAAAATAAATTATTTTCACCAAAATTAATCAAAGAATATTAATCTCAATAAACAATATACTTGGTGGTTCTTTGATTTATGAATAAGTTTATGAAAATATAAATGAGTAAATGATTAGAATTTTCTTGCCAATATTTAAGAAATTATTATGTAGTAAGATAAAGGTATAAAACACTAAATATGAGAATTAATATTAATGCAGAACATTTAAAGGATGTCTAAGTTAAATTTCGTCCATTTATTTTAATAAGAAGACAATTTTAAAATATTAGTTTATAGAAACATTAAATTTATCTTTAGTTATATAAATTTCACATGCTGCTATTTATTAGGATTAACAAAATATATAACATTTATACTAACACTAGGTTTAATATTATAAAGAACTTTTACTCCTCAATATATATATATATATATATATATATATATATATATATATTATAAACACACACACACATATATATACCTCTGTGTGTGTGTGTGTGTGAGTGCTCATATAATAGTTATTTTATTAAATATGACTTGGATGTAAAGTATATACCTATAATATCCAGCCATATTTTTAATTTAATGGTTGTAATTTTATACTCTTAAACTATCTGCAGGAAACTGTCCTTGTGGTTGTGGCCAGCCTTCTTTCCTGTGCGTCAGTTGGGGTATATTTTGTCACTCAGTTTAAATCCAAAAGTCCTAGGCTAAAGTCGCTATTTGTAAAGGTGAATGGTACTACGTTGAATAAGAGTGAAAACAACCTCTACAAATTTTCAACTGTTTTAATGTGAGCAAGAGTCAAGTTGACGAATCACCATGTACGAGAGCCTTGGCTGTGGGATGCACCCCATCCGCCGGTCGGCCACATTTGACGCTGGATTGGGATGCCTGGTAGCCGGTTGCAAGAAGCTCCAAGTCGTCGTCCTCAACGGCTGTGTTGGTATTTTGGATGCCGGGCTTTGCTTCCTTGCTTCCAACAGTAAAGAGCCCACCACCATCGACGCCTCATACACAGAGGTCTCTATCGAAAGGTCTCTCTTTGCTTTTCATTTCTTTTTCCTGTGTTGTCATCTTTGGTTCATTTAGCATAGACCGTGGTTGATTTAACCAGAAACTTCTCTTTTTGGTCCTTGTGTCTTTCGAGTTTGGTTGACCTGATAAAAAAATCTGTTTTTGTTTTTGCTTACTGTTTCCCAGATCACTGATGACGGCATCATCAAACTTGCCGTCTCTCAGAGTGTTGAATCTGGCTGCGTGCTCCAACGTTGGAGACGCGGGATTCTCGTACAAGTACATCATTGCTGGTATGTACGATGACGATTCTAAAATACAGTCGTTCTAGTCTTCTTTTTGCTCAGGAACTGGATCTATCTTGACCAATGTGGGAATCTTGTTTCTCTTGAAGCGAAGCTTGTAGTTTCTAAAGCTCTCATCTGTAAATTCCTTGTGGAGTATCAATTAATTTGGTTCTTATACTCGTGAGAAAAACGATCGCAGATCACTGCCAGCTGTTGGAAGCAGTTGGAAAGCTCACGCAGATCCGAACATGGCTGGCTGCGAAATCGCCGGCGATGGGCTTCGCTTAGTGGGCTCTTTCTGTCTTCAGCTAAGCGACTAAGTTTGAGCAAGTGTAGAGACGGATTCTGGCATGGCTTCCATTTTACATGGCTGCAAAAACCCCTGGAAGCTTGATCTTACTTGCTGCCTCCACCTCACGGAGATCACTGCTTGCAACATCGCAAGGTCGAGCGCGGGTCTTGTCAGCTTAAAGATCGAAGCTAGAACAACATTTCACTGTTGATAGATCGTTGTAGCTGCTTGGAAGAACTGGACGTGACCGATTGCAACATCGATGACGCAGATATGAGAGTGTAGCTCAAAGCTGACAGTTGCAGGACTGGAATGTATTGCGAAATGTAGGTTTTTGAAGACTCTCAAGCTCGGGTTTTGCAAGGTCAGCGACAATGGCACCGAGCATGTTGGAAGAAATTGCTCCAACTTGATCAAGCTCGATTTATACAGGTCAGTTTTGTGGACTTTCCGAAGTGCCAGCATAAAAGTCTCACTTTTTTGTTTATCAACGTACAGGTCGGGGAATGTTGGTGATGCGGGAGTTGCGTCCATAGCCGCTGGCTGTCGCAAGTTGAGAATTCTAATCCTCTCGTACTGTCCAAACATCACGGACGCTTCCATCGTCTTCAATTCGCAGCTCAGCTATCTCCAGCAGCTTTGCAAACGAGTTGGCCTGGAGAAAAAACTCCCGGAATTCAAGAACCTTGTAAAGCAAACACGATCTCAAACACTGCGGCATTGGCGATCGGGGAATGACCTCCATCGTCTACTGCTTTGCAAATCTCCAACAGGTTCAAGCTCTTCCAAATCTTTCTTCTCAAAAGCTTACGGTCGTTTTTCTTCTCTTACCAGCTAAATCTATCGTATTGCCGGATCTCCAACGCTGGACTCGTGATGCTGGGAAATCTTCGCTGCTTGCAAAACGTGAAGCTCGTCCAGATCGGGAATGTTTCCGTCGAAGTTCTCGCGGCATCACTCCTTTCGTGTGTTTACTTCAAGAAAGCATGCCATGGCCTGGAGAACAGTGGGCAATATGGATCAAGCCCAAAGAGCTTCGTGGAAAGCTTTCATGTCCGTTCAAAAACGCGCGAAAGATTCGTGAGAAAGTGGCCTTGGAGCCTGAATCCTCATGATCAAAGCTTACACCCGAGTTTTCCGTGAGATGCCCGGCCTTTCACATTGATGTTCTTGCCTGCGGTGTTTAGCACATCTAGTCACATTGGCTGCTTGGAGAAAAGCCACCTGTGTGTGCTTCACGTCGATTACCTTCGACCATGGATTGATCTCAGTCGCTCAGGACAGTTTGGGAGAGCTCAAGATCTGATGAACAACATGCTGTTTCTCCCTCATGAGGCTCCAGCCAGAAGCTCCGTCGCCATATCCTTAGAGCAATCTTGTGCAAATTGCAGCATCATCTATTACTGAGCACTTCATATCATATGTGTTTGTTAGGTGACGCAGGAGAGGGCGGTGCTCGATCGGCTGGATTGTTAAGGAAAGGAGTTAGTTTAGCGCGTAAACGATGGCAAGGACAATGACGCATCAAAGAAAATGCCAAGAACAAACAAAGAATGTGCAGGCAAGCGACAGACTTACATACGCAGCGGCCAAACAAATATTTCTTCTGCCTTGCAGCCGGACCGATCGACGAAGACTCCGTCAAATCCTGGCGAGATTTCCAGCGAGAAAACCCGATTCGCTACGAACCTGTGAAGCCAGAGAAGAGAATGCGGCCCGCCGGATGGAACGCCGCTCACCAATGATTCGTGATCGGAGAAAGAAATGGATGCCTGAATCATGAGCGGCCATAAATTTCCAAGCTTAATGTCCATTACGATCCGGCGCAGCTCTTACCTAACAGAGAGGAGAAAGCGAGCGAGAAATCGAGCCGATCGCTCGCAGCAACGCGATTCCGGGATTAGGGCTCCTCAAAAACCACTGACTATCCGAGTACTTTTGGACCAGCCCTCCTATATCTCAAACTTATTTTTAACGAAGAATATTATTTCACATTTGCATAGATAATTTTTTTGTAACAAACTCAAGTTTTAAATAAATCTGAATAGAAATATTTAACAATTTCTATATAGTTTCTTAACATATGTTTTTCGTTTTACAAAAAGTTATAATCAATAACATCCATTATAGTATTTTGTAGTAATTGTTAATTTAAATACATCCAGAAAAAAATTTGAAAAATTTAAATTAAATTTTTAGATTGGTTTAATGAATAATTTAATATTATTTTATTGAGTTGAGTATTCTACTTCTTTTAATTACAATTGTAAAAGTCAATTATTGAGTTAAAAAAATATATTGGACTTCATATATGTAAATTGTATAAATATTTTCATAAAATCTAAACATATATTGTTAGCAAAGAAAATGAGCATGAAGATTTAGTGATAAAAGAGCTTTTACATTTACTTTAGCTTACTCGCTTAGCTAAACATGAGTATATTCCTTTTTTTAAAATACACGTTCAAGATATTTTTATTTAGTTGCATGGCTATTTTATTATTTTATTTTTTATTAGAAATTTTTTCCAACTTGAACAACATTTATCCAGACTGTTTTGCATATTTAATTATAGTTAAAAAATAAATGAAAAAACTGCTCTTCACAATTAAAAAAAAAGTCAACATATTTATTTATTGAGTTGGATGAGAATATCCACTATGCATTAGTAAGTATTAACACTAAATGTAATTATATATTAATGCTATAACTAACCAAATATAAATAATAAGAGTAAATATAAATTCAATAAAAAAATTAATTTTGATAAATTAAAATTCTCCTATCTCCTCTTTCTTTTTGCTTAGATTGTTGTTTCACAAAACTCAAGTCCACTAAAACGTTAGAAATGAAAGAAAAATGAAAAACCAATGCACGACACAGTTCGTATTACAAGGTGGCCTCGGTCGGGTCGTTGTGGTTATAGGTGGCCTTTTGTCACAAGAAAACAAGCTTCTCAGAGCTTCAAGGAAGTGATATCCGGGCTTCAAAGTTCCACTGTATCATGATGGAGAAGAATTAAAAAAGCAAGAGGAGGAGACATAGACGATTAAAGGCTTCTCAAATAGCTCGGCTCTTCCTGAGTGTGTTTTAAAGGTTGAGAGGCTTCAGCATGGGGAAATGTGGCTCCTTGAAGTAGCAGTAGTAGTAGTAATACAAGTAGTAGTAGCAGTAGTAGTAGCAGTAGTGATAGTAGTATAGCTCGCAGCTGTGTGGAAGATGGTATAAGGCAAAGGGTAAGGATGTTAAACAGCCAAGCTAGTGCCTAAGCTTCTCGCCCAAAACGCCTAAAGACTGAATGCAAAGTAGCATGCAAGCAGCGAAGGGAAAGGACCACAGTACCTCAGTAGAGTCCAGTTGCTTGGGTCTGTGCCGTGAACATAAACGCTTCCAGCAGGCTTTGAGCAGCTTGCGTCTGATCGGGCGCGCCAGATATCTCGATTATGCGCTTGTCGGACCCGGGCTTGGGGTCATGAAGTTTCACTTTAGCTCCAGAGATCTATAGACAAGAAACATATAAGTTGCTCGGAGCAAAGCTTGTGAAATACCTGGCGTATCTGAGCTATATTGCTCCCCCCTTTCCCGATAATAGAGCCAATTACGGTTCCTGGAATGGTTATCTCGATCGTAGTACCTGCAACACTTGCCACCAGTCCAGATCCTGCTCTGCCACTGCCAACGAAAAAAGGAGTGTCAAAAACTTGAAGCAACTAAGAATGAAGAGCATACGTTCCAAAACTGGCAGCTGTTGGTGTTGATCCAACATATGAGAGAGCGCCAAGTCCACCAGCAGCACCCTGTCAAAAGAAGATGGAATGAAGAGTCAGTGAAAAGCTGGAGATACCTGTAGACCCCAGTTTCTTGGGGTGGCGGGTATGGAAGAACGTAGACCCTGAGAACCTAGACCGGGTAGAGAAAACATTCCTGGAGATGGTTCATGCCTTGGTTCATACGTCGATGAGACAGGCACGCTCCCTTGGACCCCAAGACCCGGATTACTCGAGACATTTTTCATGTGCTCTGAAAATATGTTTGCTCTTAACCTGGTTATGATTTCAATAACAGCATCCCTGGCCACAGTAATATCCCCTACAACCTGCACGTTGATTTGTTAGCTACTTTCTTGGAAGATCACACAGTAGTTGTTACCTGAACAAGTTCGTCGTCTTCATGAGCACACTTGGGTAAAGCTTCTTTGGACAAAACTCTAATATTCGCCCGAGTGTTCCTTCTCATGTCAGCAATAATACTACCTTTCTTCCCAAGTAAACAGCCAATATTTGCGGATGGAACCAAGAACCGGGTTGTCATAGCTCCATCCTTCTCGGCACTTGGATCAGAAATCCGGCTTTGGAGTTGTAGTACAGCTTCCAAAGCTGGAGATACCTGCTCATGAAGTACCTGGAAAAATACAAGTTGCGGATAGAAAAAGAACGTAAAAGAGTTACCTCATTAGAAGTAATGTGTATGACTCGTTCCTCTGCATTGGCCACCGCGTCCGCAATCTTGATCCGAGCACAAGTTTCCTCCCGGATCGATCTGATGATCATACCACCCTTGCCGATCACGCTGCCAATCTTCTCATTCGGACATAGCAACCTTACGGCAAATTCTCCCTCGACTGGCTCGTCTTTTACCCGACCACCACCAGGGAGTCCGTGTGCCAAAGGAAACGCGGAGGCTCCGTAAGACCAAGTCGAGCCGCCAAGACCACCTAGGTGAGGAGCGATACCGACCAAGTGCCCTCCTAGCTGACCCGGAGCAATGGAAGCATTCCCCTGGGGGAAAAACGCTCCCGGAGGAAGTAACGTACCCGGTAGAATAGTAGACTCTTGAAAAGGTCCTAAATGCCCTGCTTGAGGAGGCTTGTCTCTGGGAGGATTGTCATAGAGCCGAGTCGAGATCGTCGTGAGAGCTTTCTTCACGAGAGCCAACTCTCCAGTCAACTAAAACATGGAAACAGAAAACCAATGTGAGAACCGAGGAACGAGACAAACCAAGAGAAAGATAAGATTGTTCTTGCCTGGACGAGCTCGTCAGTGTGATACGCACACTTTGGAAGCTGCTCCCTGGGAAGAACACGAATTTGTGCCCCGGATTCCACCCTCATTTGCTCGATGATCTTCCCGGCTTTGCCGAGCAAGCAGCCAATCTGGTTGCTGGGCACCAGCAGCCGCGCAGTGACATTCCTGGAAGAATCCTCGTCCTCATCAAACTCCTCGCCCTCTACAATCCTAGCAAAAACCTTGAACAGCGCCTCCTGTGACGCTGGAAGAGGTGTGCTCTCCTCGCCATTTTGCTCCTTGTCCTTGTCCATTTCCTTGCTCCCACCCCGAGGCTTACCTTCCCGCCTCTCCCTTGGCGAGATGAAAATCACCCTCTCATCCGACCCTGGAATCCCATCCGCGACCTTAATCTTGGCGCCCGTCTCGTTCCTCAGCGATTTGATGATGCTGCCGCCCTTGCCAATGACGCTGCCGATCTTGGCCCCGGGGCAGAGAATCCTGTACACCACATCGTCGACGGGAGGAGCGGCAGCCTCGGGAGTCCGCTCGAAACCGCCTCGCCGCCTCTGCCGGACGCTGCGATCGACGGAATCCTCCTCAAACTGGGAATGCGATCGCTTGTGCGCGTAGCGCGCGCCCTCCATCCCTCACTTTCCTTAGCCGCGATAAACCCTATCCGCCATAGCCAAAGATTAGGGCAAATCCGGGTAGTTAAATTCAATTCAGCTGATCGAGTTAGGGCGCAGCAAAAAACTTAAATTTCAAACAATGCAATTCGCAAAGAAAATATCGCTCGAAAAGTGTGCCATGGATTGACAAGATATTTCCAAAATATCTCCACGTGGTGTCCTTGTGGCTCAGGTTTAGGGTTCTTGAGGACGGCATGGCGATCGCGCAGCAGCAGCGCCAAATGCAGGAGAGCGATGCCGCCAGGAAGATCCGCAAGCCCTACACCATCACCAAGTCGCGCGAGAACTGGGCGGATGAAGAGCACGACAAATTCCTCGAGGCGCTGCATCTGTGAGTTCTTCCTCTCTTCTTTACAGTTCTCGATATTTTGCTTCTCCGCGTAGCTTCGATCGCGATTGGAAGAAGATTGAGGCCTTCGTGGGCTCTAAAACCGTGATACAGGTGAGAGTTCTCTTTGTTTTTTCTTTCTGTGATCCTTCTTTTTGTTGCTAGATTCGCAGCCACGCGCAGAAGTATTTCTTGAAGGTACAGAGAAACGGCACTGGAGAACACGTACCGCCTCCAAGGCCAAAGAGGAAAGCCGCACTACCATATCCTCAAAAAGCTCCGAAAGCCGGTATAATCTTGGAAACGGTTAGCGATTCTAATCCCTTCTCGTTGTTCTTCCGTTTTGCAGTACCTTCAACTGTTGCGGTGGTCGAACGATCTCCGGAAAGTCCCAGCAGCAGCGGTAGTGATGATGCTTCTCCTGGTAAGACAAGACAATTTATCCATCGTTTCTATGGTTTAGCAAAGAGCTTTTCCTTTCCTTCTTTTCTTTCCAGCGACACCAGCACCAAATTTCGCAGCAGTCTATCAATTCCTTGGGAACGTCTTTGATCCAAATGCGTCTGGCCATCTCAACGCTTTAGGTGGAATGACTCCGATCGATCGCGAGACGGTAAGCATCTCAAAGTCCATCCAAAAAAGACCAGGCAAGTGAAAAAAAACACAAAAAACAGGTCTTACTTCTCATGAGGAACTTGACTGTCAACTTATCCACCAACGATATGACTGATCACGTAAGAGGTTCAAAGAACTCGTCACAAGCTCAAAGTTGAAAACTTTTGTGCTGCAGCTAAATTATCTTTGTCCTCCCGTTGGAGTCTAAATGGCTCGCTTTTAAATTGGATCCAGCAAAGGTAAAAGGAAAAGTCTGGGATCTGTTTTGCATGGTTTATGTAAATTCCTAACTATGCCATGGTAAATATTCTAATTGATGGTTAAAGCTTACTTTTCAAATGGTAAAGAAATCATCTGAGATTTGTTTTCGGATAAACAGAAAAAATCGATTAATTATCAGCCACCATGCCTTTTGGTAAAGGCAAAGTTGTCTCTGTAACAAGTCTTGTTCATCTCATTTCTCCACATCATCATCTCTTGCTCTTTTCTTGCCGCAAGCTCCAGAGTTTTGATTTCCATTTCCATAGCACCATCGTTCCTCTCCTGTCCAAGCTGTGGATTCCCGAACTGCTCAAAGCCCAACACCAGATCTCTCTCATCTATATCCTCCACCTTGAAATCCTTGAGAAAATTCCGTCCAAACTCCTCGTCCTGGCGTCCTTGGATCATCTCCACCCCACAATCCCGCGCCCCTTGGAGAATGTCCCTGCACCATTCTGGCCACTCTGCCTCGTCTACTTCCAGGGACTCATCGTCCATGAGAGACATGATCAGGCAGTGGAGCTCGTGGTTGACCGGCAACGACTGGGTAGCTAGTGCGTTGACCCCACCTGTCTCGCCACCTTTTGTCTTGGTCCTCTTTCTGGGGGTCCGTTTTGCCCTCGTTGTTCCACCCACGGTGTGTTGGCTCTTGATGCTCATTGTCAATTTAAAACCAAAGGGTAAAACTATAACGAAACCTAAGGTCCTATTGATATTCGCAGTTACCTTTGTGCGTGGCTTCGTACGTGATTGGACGAGATATCCAAGCCAATTAGAGGGAGCTCCGTCATCGACGAGCGCGAGCTCCATCCCTTCATCCATGAAGACGAACGATGTTGCTTCCACTGGCGGATCAAACGCGAGCGTTTGAGGTGGTGTTTCCCAGGTTGATCTGAGGTCCTGTTCGCGAGAATGCATTGTTGCTTGGCACCAGTGATCACTGATATGATACGACTAGCAGCTTTGAGACCTTCATGCCTGGACACCACCTCACTCGGCATGCGTAATGTCCTGCCAAAAGGGTGTTTGAGAAGACAACTTAAAAGCCTTTTGGTACCTATCCCGATTTTCCATCAAGTCCAGAAGTGCCATTACCGGATAAATCAAGTGGTGTATCTCCATCCTGAAAGAAAAGAATATTAAAGAGCGGGAGATGGAAGAGAGCCCACCTCGTTAGCAATTGTCCAGTCGGCTCCACGATTGAGCAAGACGCGAAGTATATCTCTCTGTTGGCAGCGAACCGCGACATGGAGCGGTGTCCAGCCCGCCTACAATCCACGAATTGAAGAACATCACATCCGGAAAAAAGAAAACCACCAGATCGGACCTTGTCAACAGAGTTTACATGCACTCCATATTTTAGCAGCAGTCTCACGACACTGGGACTCCCACTGGCGACTGCATGGTGTAAGAGCGTTGAGCCATCCTGCAAGGAATAGCAAGATATTTAGACACGACAGTGGCCCCCCAGAGAAAAGGAAGAGACAAAACCCCAGACCTTGTCCCGATAGAAAACGTTGGCTCCACCATGGATTAAATGTTTGACGATGTGAAGTCTGCCAGCTTGAACAGCTTTACGCAAAACCGTAACTCCTTCCTGCACGTCACTCCCTTGAGTGGGACACAACACAAAGACTTCCTATCCCTTTTTCTCTCTTTTTCTTCTCGCACTCTCAAGTACCTCGTTCACATTGTCTTCGTGATCATCCTGTTGCATCAGCTCCGCAACAAGAAATGGCTGCTGTGGCGAGGCCAGCGTGTGTAAAGGCATCCATTTCTCCTGCATGATCCACACCCAGTCAGTCGCGTTGCCTTCACGGTCGTTCTGGATGAACTTACACAACTTCTTTTCTCGATAGTTCGGCGGTCGCACTCCTGGAAGAGCTTCCTCTCATTTCCTTTGAGATTTTCTCCCTACAGTAACAGTAAGTAGATCATCTGTCACTTTAAAGGACGAACAAAAGAAGAAGAAGGAAGAATGGAATCGAAAAAGTAAGAAATAGTGACTTACTTTGGAATAGTTTGGTGGAGCTGGCTCGGTCACCTTCTTTGCCTGTTTCGAATTTTTCCGCGTGGCCTTGCCACAGTTGTCTAGATTTTGCGAGCGCTCGGCCGAAACAAGCTCGCCACCATTGTCATCTCCGAGCTCCAAATCATCACTGAGTTCTTCGTGGCGATAAGAAGCTCGATGAAGTTGACGACCACCTTCAAAGACAGTGTGTGCGACTTCTTCTTCTTCTTCTTCGATCTTCTCCTGTTGAATGGCCTCGTCAATGATTTCGCCAAGCTTCTCCCGCAGCTTAGCCTTTTCCTCCTTGCTCCTCGACCGTCTCCCCTTGAGAACCTCTCTCCTCTTCTGCCGCTTGGTCCTGTTGAGATCGTCTTGCAAATCCCTCCATCTCTCGGGGACCAAGCCTCTAACTGGTACCTGAGCCACAAATCTCGTCCTTGCGCCTAGTGGAGGCGCCGGCGCTGGACGCTTCACAACCGACTCGAAAATCCCCTCCTCCACCTCCGCATCCTTCCCATCCGCCGCCTCCTCGTCCCTCCACAGCGAAATCTCCGCCAGCATTCTCATCGCCCGGCCGCATTTCTTGCGATCCACGCTCTGCCTGTCCGCAATCCCAATTCAATCATCGAGCGCTCCAAATCAATATCAAAATCTTACGCACTGCTGCCGAATCACAGCAGCACCGCTCCCAGGGAGCCACACCCCGCAGGCCACGAGCGGCATAGCCCAAGAACCCTAAATCTAAAAAACGCCAGGTCACCACTGCCACGTCGGCAGAATGTTAGGTCTTTGCCGCTAAAGTTAGCTACCACTACAGTTTTAGCGAGGCTAGAAAAATGCGGGTTTCTAGATTTGGTGGAGTAGTCAAGCCATAGTGGCCCCTGTCCATTTGATGTGCTTGTTCATTCATTGGGCTAGTCAAGGGAGACCCTTCTTCGATTTTTCTCCCCTCTTGCGGCCTTCCACCGTCGCGGCGCCCGCGGCGTGAATGGATTCCAGCTGCTTGGCGGTGCTTCGCGCCAAAGATCAGGTCAGTAGACATCGCCTGGCGCCAGCACCGACGACTCATCGATGATCGGAGCTCCGGATTACCTAGATTTTGCTGGAGGCGGCGCCGATCCGCTCGGCATTGCGATAGAATCGTCAACACGGGCGAGAAATAGTTCTCATCTTCCCAGGAAATAGTGTCGCAGCTACAGTCCTTCTGGAGGATTCTTAGTTCCAGCTCTAGCACTAGCTCCCATGATTTGGACAGGATAGGGGAAGGGATAGGGGGATGGAGCAGCAGCAGCAGGGATTGGTAGTGTGGCTGGGATTGGTGGTCGTGTTGCGGGCGGCATGGTGCCTGGACGAATGCAACGCGACGTGTCTACAAATCCACACGAGAGCCTGCGAGTCTTGCAAGGGCGCTATAGGACCGTTCCAGGCGTTTAGAAACGAGGCCTTCCTCTTCATTGACGCTCCTGACGCTTTAAATTCTCCGACCAGCGTCGATTCTCCCAGTGGCAGGCCTTGCGCTGTCAACGATATCCTTTGCCAGGGGCCGCCATCGACAGAGGAGAAGCACTGCTGCGCAAGCTGCGAGGGTGAGACGGTCAAGTGTAAGCTCTTTACGTTCTCGCCGTCATTCAACAAGTCCAACCAAAACACCGTCCAAGTTTTCTTCTGGAACGAGGCGGATGGTCCGTCGACCAGGGCGGTCAGCACCACCGCTACTCCTCCACCACCGCACTCGTGTTCTTCGGCCGGTTGCAACTCAACGCTTGGATCTTGCTCGAGAAAAGCTTGCCCGCCAGGTACTTGGATACGTCGTGTTTTTTTCCTTGGTTTATAGTTTCTCTTTTGTTTGTTTGTCTGTCGTTCTTACATGCTTTTGATCATGTCCTACCAGGCTGCCGGTGTAAGAAGTCCTCCAAAAAGACCATGTTCATCATAGGTGAGCTTACATTTTGATTTAACTTTTTTTTTGTTTTTCGCGACTGAATTCCACTTTTATGAATCAGGTGGAGCATCTGGTGCCGGGCTTCTCTTCGTGCTTGTCTGCTTGATCGTCTTCGTTGCAAGGAGGAGGCATCTCTCTGCGAGAAGGCGATGCCGCAGCGACCGAGCACAGATCCTCACCGACGCAACCTGCGCCTACACTCCCATGGTGTTCACGTTCAGGGAGCTTAAAACAGCAACTAAATCCTTCGCCGAGAGCAGGCTTCTAGGAGGCGGAGGATTCAGCACGGTCTACCAGGGCAAACTCCCCGACGGTCGCATCGTAGCGGTCAAGAAACTCAACCAGGGAAACAAGCAGGGAATCCAGCAATTTCAGAACGAAGTCAACATTCTTTCACAGGTCCGGCATCCAAACTTGGTCCAGCTTCTCGGCTACTGCCTCGAAGGCCGGGACTTACTGCTGGTCTACGAATTCGTCCTCAATGGAACTCTAGCCGACCACCTACACGGCGAGAAAGGAAACGGGCTCTCTCTCGAGACTCGGATCACAATCGCACTGGAAACCGCTCAAGCACTGGCCTACCTGCACTTCTACGTCAAGCCACCGATCTACCACAGGGACGTGAAGACGTCCAACATTCTCCTGGACAAGGATTTCAAGGCCAAGGTGGCGGACTTTGGGCTCTCCCGGCTCACGCACCTGGACGCAACGCACATATCCACGGCTCCCCAGGGAACTCCCGGCTACCTCGACCCGGACTACCACGAGAGCTACCAGCTGACGGACAAGAGCGACGTCTACAGCTTTGGCGTCGTCCTCCTCGAGCTCATCTCCAGGAAGAAGGCCGTGGACATGACGCGGGACAAGAAGGAGATCAACCTGGCATCCATGGCCCTCGCTCGGATCCACTCGGGCGCGTTACACGAGCTCTTCGATCCGGACCTGAGCGTCAAGTACTGGAAGCTCTTGACGAGGCTGGTGGAGGTGGCGTTTCGGTGCTTGGCGGCGGAGAAGGACGATCGGCCAAGCATGGTGGAGGTCGTCCGGGAGCTGGAGCAGCTTAGCGGCATGACGATCAGCTCCAGCAGCTCCAAGAAATCGTCGAGATTCAAGCTGGAGCACCAAAGTTCCGGCGAGCTCCGGAAGCAGAGGAGTGTGGCCAGCACTAACATGGAGGAGGATTCTCCCACGTCGGTGCAAGTCAAGTGGCCCAGCACTCACACATCTCCCAGTAACAGCAGATCAGAGATTTATAACTGATCCGAAAACTTTGGAAAAATCTTCTTTTTTTTCTCTCTTTTCTCTTCACAAAGCCTGGGATCTGTGTTTTGTACATTATATATTTATATAATGTATATATTCCAGAGAACTTTTTTATTTGAGAGTTCTTACCTACCTAGAGAACGAAGAACCAGCAGTGGTGGTACCTGGGCCTGTGGAAACACGAGGAAAACAACACTGACTAGGATGCTTAAAATTCGAGACATTAGCTGTGATGAAATAGTGAAGCAGCTGCTCCATCCGTGGAGAATTGGAGGAGAAGTAAGCTAAGCTATGGCGTGCAATTCGTAAAGCAAGCTAAAAGTGAGTTATAAATGAAGACAAACCAAAGTGAATTCAAAAGAATTAAAATGAAAAAAAACAAATTAAAACTGTGAGTGCTTGGAATATGGAAAGGGAATATAGAAATGTGCATATCAATTAGCCCAAAAGCCCTAGCTTATATATAGGAGCGAGTGGTCCAGATTGAAACTAATCCGACGGCTACCAAAATCCCATTACGCTAATATTAGTATATGGCATCATAGCCGTACACTTGGCCCTCACATCATTCCCCCCTCTCAGGATAATGGAAGACTATCAGGGTTCTCTTGTAGACGGGCCGGGATCTGGAGGAACATCAGGAGGAGGTATCGGCGGATCTGTAGATGGTATTAACTGCTCCTAATCCCTTTGTATGAAGCATTTCAACCGCTGCACATGCACAATCTCTAGAGGATCGGCCTGCTGGACGTCATGCCGAACCTCATAAACTTGTGGTCCAACTGGCCACAACACCCGATACGGTCCTTTCCACTGTGCAAGGAGCCCCTTAGATAAACCACGTACCGTAAGATGGGGAAAACGGACTAACACCAAATCATCCACTTTGTACTCCGCAGGTGGACGATGACGGGAGTTGTAGTGCCGTTGTTGTCCCACTTGTATGCGGCCTAAGTGTTTGGCAGACTCTGCTCGGACAAGTGGAAGAATGCTTGTCAAATATTGATCCCATGACTTAGCATCCGCAGCTCGTGGCAATCGCGAAGGTAAACCCAGCTCCGTTAGTAATATTGGATCATGACCATATAGGAGTTTATATGGTGAAGCACCAATAGAACTCTGCACCCCAGTGACATATGCATACCGAAGAGACGGCAAATAACCATCCCAATCCGAATGCTGAAAGTTCACATACTTCGCAATCATCCCCTTGAACGTCCGAACGAGCCGTTCCACCAGACCGTCTGATTGTGGATGATAAGCACTCATGAAAGTGTGGCGAATCCCCAACCGAGACGTCAAAACATGAAATGCCTCAGCCATAAAAGCGGGACCATTATCCGAAAGGATCCACTCTGGACAAGAATGCTGGAACACCACTCGATTGAAGAGGAAGTATCCAATAGTAGTTGTAGAGGCACTAGCAAGAGCACTAACTTCCACCCAACGAGTCAAATAGTCAGAAGCAATAATAACATACTCATTGCCAGCAGTTGACCGTGGAAAAGGTCCCATAAGATCAAACGCCACCAATTCAAACGGATGGGAAATTGCAATTGACTCCAATCGTCCTTCCGCAGTCCGAGGGGGAGTATTACGAGCTTGGCACCAAACGCAGCTACGCACATACCGGATAATATCACGTCACATCTCCGGCCAATAGAAAGACTTGCATAACTTCTCAATTACACGATGATGTCCCATATGCCCACCTAGAACAGGAGAATCATGGTAGGCATGGAGAAACTGCGGAATAAAGATAGAAGGCACCACTAGCAGTAAATGATCATCAGGATCTGTCCCCACAAAATAAAGAAGGCCACCTTCAAGACGATATTGAGAATGTAAATGCCGGAAAGGCAAGTCATCAGCAAGTGATGCAGGATTCTTAAACCCATCTTGAAGCCTTCGAATCCATGGCTCAATCTTTTGAGCCTCGCGAACCTCATCAAGTGAAGGTAGATCTTCCTCTGCACCTTGTGGACACTGAACGTCAAGTATAGCAACCGCTGACGGCACAGAATCCTCATCTAGAAAATCCACAGATGCTGGAATGACAGGCTCGTCAGAAACATGAGAAGAGAATGAAGAAGGAAGAGGAGCTCGAGAAAGGGCATCAGCATCAGCCATAAAACTCCCTGGGCAGTGAACAACATCAAAATCATATATCTGAAGCTTCAAAGCCCACCGAGCAGTACGACCAACCAGGTTCTTTCGCTTTAATAACGAAGTAACAGCAGCATGGTCACTTTCAAGTAACGTCCGAGAACCATGTAGATATGCATGAAGTTTCTCGAAACCCCAAACTGCTGCTAAACACTCCTTCTCTGTCGTGGAGTAGTTCATCTCCGCTGGTTGTAATGTACGGCTTATATATGCAATGGGACGGTGCTGACCAGGCACACTCAAGCTCTCTTGCATTAACACACCTCCAAGACCAATGTCAGAAGCATCCACGCACAAAATAAAAGGTCGAGTGTAGTCAGGATATGCCAAAACCAGAGGAGTTGTCAATAACTTTTTGAGATCCCCAAACGCCCGATCACAATCCGGAGACTAGATGAAAGATGATGTTGATGACTTCAGCAACGCTCGCAATGGTGCAGTGCGATCAGAAAGATGATCCACAAAACGCCCGAGATACTGCACCTTGCCCAAAAAACGCTGCACATCATTCACACACTTCGGAGTAGGGAACTTTAGAACAGCCACAAGTTTGTCAGGATCAACTTGCAAACCCTCACAAGAAATACGGTACCCAAGATAAGTTGTGTCCTTGGATCCAAACATGCACTTCGACTGCTTCAGCTTTAAACCAACGTCGTGTAGCCGATCCAACACTTTACAAACATCATGAACGTGCTCCTCCTACATCCCCTCCGAGTGGATCAAGACATCATCAATGAAGTCAGCAGTCACCTCCGGCATATCGCAAAGAACCTCGTCCATCATCCGTTGAAAAGTTGCTGGAGCATTGTTCAAACCAAATGGCATCATTAAGAACTCATACAAACCAAATGGTGTACGAAAAGCAGTCTTAGGAATATCTTCTTCGGCCATCGGTACTTGCCAGTACCCAGAAGCAAGATCTAGCTTGGTGAACCAACAACTTCACCCCAGACGATCCAAGAGATCAGCAGTGTGAGGAAGAGGGTACACATCCGGGATCGTTACGTTGTTTAACGGACGATAGTCGATGCAGAAACGAATACTCCCATCAGGCTTCGTCACAAGATGAGGTTCACATGCCTAAGGACTTCGCGACTTCCGAATAACACCCTTCTCCAACATCTCCTGGACATTTGCACGTAAAATCTTGATCTCCTTTGGTGACCGATGACGAACAAGAACCTTGATTGGACGAGCATCCCCAGTTGGAATTGGATGACGTGTAGCAATCTTGGCTCCAGACGATAGGTCAAAGTCAAAGAGATCAGAATACTCCTTCATGAGCCGGTCAACTGCTGCAACACAAAGATCGTCGGAGGGATCGGAAAAGGGAAGAGCAGAACATGATGGAAACACAGGAGGAAATAATGGGGGAACAAAAGTAATGGAAGTAGAGGTAAAAGTAGAGGGACGAAGAGGTACAGATGTGAGAGGAATGGAGGAAATATAAGGAAGTATGAGACAAGGGGGAGAAGCCTCAAAGTCACACTTGGAATGAGTGCGCTGCAACCAATCCATACCAAGAATGAAGTCAAAAGCTTGACTTGGCACCACCCGCAACGACTGCAACTCAAGCTCGAGATCGCCCACATGCACAACCAGGTCTGCCTCATCCCGTGCACATGCATGTGTACGGCCGTTGCCATAAAGAATGAAAATTGGTTCCACCGCACGACACAAGTGTAGATGACAACGTGTGGCAATAGGTCGAGCAATAAAAGATAAACTCGAACCTGTATCAACCAACACTGAGAGAATAATATGAGACCTCTTGTTATAAAGATGAGCTTGAAAAGTAAACACTGGATGAACTGGTGCCGAGTGAACCCCTTGATGATACTCCCGAAAGAAAGATGAAGGGGTCACTAACTTATTCACGCAAGGTCCTTCCATTACCCGTGCGACTCCTCGTTTCCCGGATTCATCTCGGTGTCCAAACCTTCCACTGCAGCAGCACCAACGGGACATTGTTGATGCCAAGGTCTCCACCCAGGAAATGGAGGTCGCCAATCTAGAAAGCGCCGACAACGCCGATAAGTATGACCAACTTCATCACACGCCCAGCAACGAACATCACGGCCACGACCACGTCCTCGTCCTTGTCCTTGGACTCGAGTAGCAGCAGCATCAACCTCCATGGGAACAGGACCATCACTCATAGAAAGTGGAGTGGAAGGACGTGCAGCAAGAAGTGGAAGAGGCGACGTCTCACAATGTTGTGCCAAGCGAAGAGCATCGTCAAGGGTGGCAGGAGCAAGTGCATGCATAAGGCCGACAAGATCTTGACGAAGTGCTGGCTACAACATTCCTAGCTTGATCCGCTCCGACATATTGGGCTCCGCACGAAGCAAAAGACTTCGGAAACGAATGCCAAATTGCATTACCGACTCAAATGACCCTTGGCGAAGACGATGCAATTGTTGGAAGGCATCGTCACAATCGTCGGCATGTCCGAAGGCGCGTTTGAAGACGTCCGGAAGATCACTCCAATCCTCACGAGTGGCCGCACTCAATCCATTGTACCACTGCAATGCCGTCCCTTGGAGACACGTGGGAAACTCATGTAAACGTCAATCATCATCCCAAGAATGATATATGGCAATCACCGTGAAGTGATCGAACTAATGGTACACATCATCCCCGGGATTCCTACGAAAGAACTTTGGCCAAACGTGAGGATTGGCACCAAGAGCAGGAGGAGTTGGACCACGTGCCGTGAATGCCACCATCAATTGAGTTTGATTGTTCAATTGCAAGTGCATAGCATCAAGCAATTGGACCAACTGCTGCTCGAGAGTCAAAGGAGGAGATTGCTGATCTGCCATGGAGACGAATGAAAAAGAAAGAGCAAAAGAAGAGAAATGACAAAAAGCTAGAAGGAAATGGTAGATCTAGACAATGCAAAAAGCTAGATCTAAACCAAAATCCTGAAAGGAAAGAACAAA